CAAGGTCACTGCTTTGTGTGCACTTTTATTTATTAAATAATGCATCGTTTATTAATAAACAAAAATTGAAAACTGGACTCCCGGTAATAAACGGGAGCTATTCCGCAGGAATATTTGTGCACTAAATGAATAATTCCCCACCCGCTGTGTTCCATCTCACAAAAAAACCAACAAATGAGATGCACACATGCAAGTGACTCTCAACATCTCCCTGCAGCTCTGAATTCTCCTCATTTTACTGCAGAACAGTTCTGTTTTAACTCCATCCTCTTATTAATTTGGTTGTCTGAAGCTCATGCAGCGACACGCAGGAACCGTCGGATATATACTGCTGGAGTTTTCTCTTGAGTACATTTAAAACTTGAGGTTAGTTTGAAGCCTTCAAACATTCTTGCAGAGTTGTTAGAACGTCTTGTAGAATAGCACTTCTGTTCTCCTTGGACACCTAGACGAAGAAACAAAATTGTTAATAAAAATGGATGCTCTGAGCAAAACGGGGAACAAAATAAAAAAGCTAAAAGAACATCTGACCAGTCCAATGAACTTTAGTCCATATTTATAAGTTTGCCTATTCATTTATCAGCAGTGACATTAAATGGTAATTTGTCTAACAAGTCATAATATTTAAAACCTTCAGATGAACGCTGTTAACTTATTTGAAGCAGTTTTCTTAGCAAAACATCAGTTTTAGTCACCGTCAGTCAAAGTGGAGGGGTTGTTTTCCCCAAAAGTAGGCGGAGCTTAGCGCTGAACTCAGATGTGTTGCTCCACTCTCATGTTAAACATCCACATCATGTTTTGTCTAAGAGTTAAATCACCAACAGGTTTTCTTCCAGTAACAATCTTCCTCTCTGCGCAGTACGGTAGTCCCTTGCTACTTCGGACAGGCGACGCCATTTTGTAGTTTTCTTTCAATAAGCCTACACTGTGACGCCAGTCAAAATAACTACAATACCCAGAAGCCAACAGTGCTTCCGGCCACTGCTTTCTGCTGAAAAGGAGGGAAAGTTTTGCAACTCGAAGTCAGAAGTAACGATCCATCTATGAAGCTCACAGAACTGGCAGGAAAGTCAGAAATAATCCTGAAGCTCAATTATTAGTGGAAGTATTTTACACTAAACACCGTAAGACAGCAACGTGCAGTGTCTGCAGAGCCGCTGCACTGAGGAAGCTCGGTCGCGACCTACAACACAACAAACTTAATAAACATTTGAAAAAGCACCACATTAAAGTGCACGAGGATTGTTTAGCCAGGCACCAAGGTAAAGGCTTCAGCGGTGTGTTCCTCTCGTTCAGTCCGAAGCAGACAGTCTGATTTCAGTCAGCTCGTCTCGGAGGAGCAGACTGAAATCAGACTGTCTCCTTCACAGCTTGACTGAATACTTGCAGCCAAGATATAATTTACATTTACCCTCCAGGAGACATTTATCAGCTCAAGATGAGAGTTCTGTGATGGAGTTAAACTCAAAGCAGTCTGCTCAGATAAATAGTCTTAAATTAA